AATAAATGAGTGTATGGGAGTTTGTAAAAGAATTTTGAATGTAGAGAGAGAGAGAGAGAGAGAGAGAGAGAGAGAGAGAGAGAGAGAGAGAGAGAGAGAGAGAGAGTATTTAGCATGGAATTTTGCACGGGAAGTGAGATATGTAGGTGATTAGGTTACAGGGATGGGCGAGGAATCAGATCAATGAAGTTGACATGGGAGGGAGCGAGGTTGGACTTGTGAGTTGGCTTCATGTGATGTGTGCTAATATTAATGTAACGCCAGGTCCACACACGTGGTTTGCATGTGAGAACCGGGGACAACCTCAACCTCGATGCCTCATACCGTCGTCATACGTACCCTACCGCCAAGAAAACAAACTGTAGCATGCATTCATAACCCAACGCTATTCAAATCCAAGAGACAGTGATGGCTTTAAGATTGACGCTTCCCGATGCCCTGCTGACGCAACACGGAGGCCTTCCAACTCATTCTCCGAAATCCTTGGTGGCATCAAATCGATGTCCCTCATCCATGTCATGCTGCTACCAAACTCGTAAGATCCGAGTTCCTCCTCCTGACATCGTCGCCTGAGTGACCGTGCAGTGTCGTTAACCGGATGGCAATAAACACCTGAGTGAATGTGACGTGTCGATCAGATTAGAGTGACGTGTCTCATAGCTGCCTACGTATCATGTCTATCATTTACATCTCTGTTCCCGTAATCCAACATCGAGTGGTGGTTACATGCTCTTATGTTTCCTTCCATTGCTGCTGTCACAGAAACCACGATGCTCTATCTATCATTTCATCTTTTCCAAGTCTGAATGAGAGCAGTGGGAACTCCACTTTCTTCATTTCTTTTCCTGCTACTGCTTTCCCAGTTGTCATTGATATATACTGAGACATCATCTACAGGTACAAAATCACTAGTCCTTGTTCTACGTTTTCTAATCCTAACAACACAAGTGGTGGTCACTCCTAACCTTCATTCGACTTGGATGATCAAATACGAGTAGGAGCAACAACTTCATTTTTATAGATTTTGGAGGTAGTAAAGTACCCTAACACACCAACTCAGACATAGCTTGATGTTGGATCTTACCAGATCCAAGTCTTTAAAGAATGAGCACAGAAATCAAGGTGGTAGAGAGAAGTCGAAGGGAACATGTTGCCCCAATTCTTCGCTCAAGGAGTTCCTCGAGAACCAAATCAGGCGCATTGACCAAAACAAGACCACCTCCTCCCTTCCCTCGGAGAAAACAGCTTGAAGTCACTCGAGTCTCCCGGAAACTAAGGAACTATTCCTCAAGGAAACCAGAAATTGTTGAATTAGAAGGAATATGTATGACCGGAAAAAACATATATGATCACGATTGAAAGGGCTAATTATATATTATTTTTTTGTAATTAATTATCTTTAGTATTTTAATTTTTTATATTTTTAAAAATTATATTAAAGTAACATTGTTAATATGAAGTCTTGCTGTAGAGATTTGATGAAGACTATAAGATTACACATATGTTTATAAGGAGGGCAATCAAATGAATTAATCTGCTCGACCTCCTTTCTTTAGATAGGAAAGTGGTCCTGAAATTATTTTGAATTAATCTGCTCAAATCTCTCAAGAGAATCTTGTACTAGATTTTCCAAGCAATAAAAATCTTTGAAAGATGCCGAGCTCCCCAAAATCCTGCCCGAAAGCACCAAACCTGGAGGGAGGGCTGCTTGCTCTTTTGAGAGTGATACACTGATGAGAGACCCGTTGTTAAATTAAAAGCATCTACAAGTATGATGCTTACATTTTAGAAGAAGAGAGAAACCCATTGCTGCTCATAGGCATAACCTTCTTTGATTTCCCAAGTACATAATAAATATATGACATGCAACATAATGGGGAGAATCAACAACAACAACAACAACAACAACAAAAAAGATAAACAATAAGATTATATGGCCTACCATTATTGTCTCAAGTTCCACCAAGTCCACGTACTCGGTCTCGAATCAACTTCCTTTCCCAGTCAGCAATACCCCCGAAGGCATGCTCAGGCAAGCTCTCAAAAGGCTCTTTCCACGGGTCATTCTTTGCCAAATCATAAGTAGCTCCTCTGATGGCTCGCTTGTTTGGCCCACAGGGTCTTTTTGAAGTAACAGTATTATAGGCTGTGTTAAGCTGCTCGAGATAGATAGAATGTTGAAAATAATATCAGAAACCAAGGCAGGCAGAAGGCATAGTTGGTACTGAGTATCTCAGGGCAAGTTATCCCACTTAACAATCAGTTCCTACTTTACAATCACAACATGTCACATGATCCTCCGCTCATAATCGTATACAAAAGAAGCATACTATCATGAATGGTCTGATTTCATGAATGTCAGTCAATCTAAGACATGACCGAAAGCTTGACATAGAGATATTCCACAGTAAGATAGAGATGATCTAATCTAACAACACATAAGATCGTTCAGCTGGATAATAGAAACTGCAAAAAAGAGAGTCAAGGCCAAACTTACATCCATGTCACAGAACCAAAACAAATAAGAAATTGCAACTGCAGGTGCCCTTCCCAGTCCAGCGGTACAATGGACATAAACTCTTCCTTTACCCTCAGAAATAGCCCATTCTAGTGAAGAGACTGCTTTTGGCAATTGGCTCCTCAGTGAATCTGGATCAAAGTCCCTTGCCTGTATTTGCAATTGAAAAGATGAGCAATCAGCATCATTTTCTGTTTATAAGCTGAAAGTATTTTACCTAGTATTTCTACTAATCATTGGCAAGTACTGAAATTAACGACTGTAGTTATATATTTTGGCTAGCTATTCTACCAGAACTCGGTACCTGTCTGGGGCTTACTTGTTACACATGACTAATGTGCAGGGATGTGTAATGCTCTTATATTGGAAAAGCTTAATAATCGAATCACGTACTATAGGGTGCTAGCTTCCAGCTGCATATGTACTTGATATTTTTGCCCAGTTCTCTCTACAAAATTTCACCATCTTGATCGGTCGAACAAGTCTATCAAAACAACTTAGATTAACTAATACGTTACTTAAGGCCTGAAAAGGTCCATCATTTGGTTGCTTCATCTATAAATTCATATGAAAGGAAAAGAGGAGGAGCATAAAATGGATCCTATCAACCAAAGAGAAGCTCTGGCTGCTATCTTCTCTCAAATTTATAATAGTTTATCTTTATCAGAGGTCAAGGTCAAATAAGCTGATTAGACAGGAGACTTTAGTTCACCGGATTACCGGTTCAAAGCTTATTGGTGAAAAATCTTGTTTGATACAAAGATAGGAGCAAAGACCAAATTCCTAGGGTAAAAATTATTGCTTCGAATAATTTCATTGGTACAAGAATAAGGCTTCCATCTCAGCTGCTGGAGGACCATAAGGTAAAGCTAGCCATGGGCTAAATTGGAGTTTTTGCAGAACAAGCTTTGGGCCCCTGATCAGGTACAGAAAATTAGGCCGTTCGCTCATGGGAAAAGGCTGGATCAGGTTTGGTCAGGATTCTACCAGAAGCATGAAGCGAAAGCCAATAACACTAAATATTTGATGTAGAAGATGGCCTGCAAGTAATGCGGACCTTATACATCAGATGTAATCAGAAATGATACTGGTCTACTGACCTTAACCAGCAGATACAAGCAATATAAAGGGAAATACAGGGTTTTTTAATGTAGGACAATTCATGGTAAAGGATAAAATGTAGGAGAATTCAAAACCATCCTAATATGTAGGAGAAACACATTTTTGCCAGGCTACGATGGAAAAGAAACTATCTGCTTTGTGAAAATTAGTAGGAATTTGGAAAGAGGTTAAATAAAACAGCTACTATGGAAAAGAAACTATCTGCTTTGTGAAAATTAGTAGGAATTTGGAAAGAGGCTAAATAAAACAACTACTCCATCAATCTACATGTGATAATTATTGGATTTATTAATTAACAATATCCTTAATGCACTCACTCCTACTTCCCATCTTTTTAAAACTAATTTTATTTTCATTAATAAAAATCTCATCAAAAATCGCTGATCTGATGCTATCATATTTCTTAAAACCTCAAAGTTCACGAGATTGATGATAGTAGATGATTTCATTAAAGGTAATGACAGCTTCCAGAGATCTTTCTTCATTATAATATCACTTGAAAACTAAAAGTTCTCTAATTTTGATTAGACATAGTAGATGATCAAGTTCATCGAATGTTATGACAGCTTCCAAAGAACTGTCTAATGTTGCCGTGTAAAAAAGAAACCGAATCATGTACAAAGATAAACCAAATTCTTGTTCAAGAGCACAAGTAACAATAATTAAGCGCACAGGTAGAGAAAATAAAAGGTGCAACCAGTTACATATCACAACTTTTTAAATAAAATGTGATATAAGTAGAACAATTCCAGTTGATAAGGGTTGGTTATCTTCAGTCAATATAAGTTGCATTCCTCTATTACAAAAAAAAATAAATAAATAAAACAAGGGTGAAAGGGAGGATAGCTTACAGGCCTTCTCATGTGATGAATGCCAAGTTCTTTGCACCTGTTGAGAATATCTTGAAAATTTATTCCCCAGTACTCAATGTCTTTATCTTGCTGTAAGCACAGAATGTATGCTACATTTTCTGCCTCTTTTAGGTGATCAATATCTTTGGGCTTTTGTGGCTGAGAACCGACAATTAAACTATCGTTTATGATAGTATAATTCATGCCTAGGTGCCAAAATTTTAACTACTTAGTCTATCGACACAGAAAAAAACATTATTTGAATGAGTGTGCAAGACATTTAAATTAAAGCTCAGAATCACCCAAAAACATATTTTTGGGGCTAAATAAGCCCAGCTCCATAAACACTATGATGATGTACACAGATTAGAGATAAAAAGAACTAATTCTAAAATATGTAGTAATTTTGGAAAAAATATCATAACTTGGATCACTACCATCTCCTTCCTTTCCTAGAATCAAACAGAATCCCAACACCCTAGTCGGTAGGGCATTTTTATTTTCAATAAAGCTACAAGTATGCAATTTATCTTTTCCAAAATAAAAAAAATTGTAGACATTATAGTTATTTAATGAATTAGATAAACCGATGTTGAAGTCATCATTACAACATGCTCGCTGGGGATTTGTCTACCTTAATATTTTTTAAGCTGTTTTTGTTCTATTATAAATAGAAATGATTCTAGAACATAACAAAATTAATGATCGCTACCCTAGTTCAACAAGAATTACATGTAATTTGAGGGAAAAAAAATTCGTAGTCCTGTACAGGCCAAAAAGCTGAAGCTTTGAATAATAAATATGGTATTTTGTTGTTTTGCAGCGATGGGATATGCAATGGAAAAGAACAAGATTATCTTTTCCACGAGTCCCTTCACAAGGTCTAGAGACTCAAAGCGAAGAGGGGAAAACGAAAACAACACGTAAGACTCTGTATACTTGTCGCCATTTAGACTCTTAACCCATAACGTACGTTCCATCAGTGAGGAAAAGACATGCTTGAGCAAGATCATATTTGAAGGAACTAAGAACGAACAAAGATCGAATAAATTTTTTCAACCAAGATCACATTTTTCACAAACCAAAAACGAACAAAGACAAAAGAAACGTCTCGACCAAGATCAGATTTAAAGAGTCCAAGAACGACCAAAGATCGAACCTTATCAAGAAAACAATGGAAAACCCATTGCATCCACATGAAATTCCTCGGGAGGAAAAAAAAAAAAAAAGGGAACCGACGATTTTACCAAGATCGTGATGGTACTCGTACGGGTTCCTCATCATGCGCTTCATGACGGTGTTATAGTCCTCCACCTCGCGATTATTACGGGAGCCCTGTTCCACCGGGCCGCCCTCCGAGATCTTGCAGCGGATGCCGGAATTCTTCCTCGAACTGCTGTCAAGATTCCTGAGATTACTACCACGGAAAAAGGAAATCCCCTCGAGAGATCTCCGAGGTGATGGAAGCACCGAACAGAGGGATCCATTAAAGATCGTTCCCATCCCCGCCTCTTCCTTCTCTCCTCTCTCTCTCTCTCTCTCTCTTTCTGTCTCTCTCGATCGCCGCGCTCTCGTCACAGACCCTTTCGCCTTTGCCTCCGCCGCCGCCTCCGCCTCGGAAGAGACCACGTTGTAAAGTCACTTTATAGCCATGTAATGTAACCAATTAGACCCTTTTAGTTGAACAAAGATAAATAATTCTACTATTAATAGTATATTCACCCTCATAATTTATCTCTATATTTGATTTTAACCACCACACATAATATATATATATATGAAACAATTAGTAAGGGTCGGGCATATAAATTTTCATATCATAAATATTTAAATATTTTTATTTTAGTTAAGAATATAGATTTAAATAGCTGGAAAATTACGATCTTATTTGTTATTTTTGTTGTTGTGCAAACGATAAGTATAATATGAAATATAATTATGAGAGAGATATTTTTGGTAGAATTTTCTGGAGCACATGTCGTCGAGTTCTAATATTTCGGGCTTAACCCGCACGTGATATTTGCAACCTTTCTGGCGGGAAACTTGACGGTGGCGTCGTGACAGGACAACATTTGGCGCCATTACATGGCTTGTTGGGCTGCCTACAGGCCCATTCATTTGAGCCATTGATTTGAGCCCATTCTACAGGCCCATTGATTTGAGCCATTACATTGAATCTTTTTTAATATTTCTAGTGTCGAAGTCTTTTTTATCTTTAAAGATATTGTTCTGATGCAAAATGCAATCCAACTTGAATCAGCAAGCCATTCATTCATTCGTATAATTGACCAAGGAAAAAGGCTCCATCCAGCTTGTATAAATAACTCTTTTCAAACTTAATTATGAAACCTCATCCAACATAATTTATACTCAATAAATATATTTATTATAAATTTAATTTTTATTTTATTTTTTAGAAAAGAAAAAAAAAATAGTGATTCAGACTCTTAAATCGAGTGTTGCGTGGGTCGTCGAGTCGAGAAGAACACAGCTCGTTTACAAAGCAAAGCAAAGCATGTCGAGTTGCATCTTAAAACAAAAAGTCCATTGACCCACCTTTGGCCACATGATGTCTCTTGGTGGAACCCTCGTCATTCCTTCAACCCCCATTAGAAAGAACATCCATTTCTTTTCTTTTAGTGCTGTGGTTGGACACCGCCAAGATTCGACTCGGCCCCTGCGGACTCATGTCCTCCTAACGCCCCACCATATCCAACCACTCCTTTTGTGTGGGCCGCACTCACCCTCCCATGGGTGTTTCGTTCCAAGTCAAACAAAGAAGAACTCGTGTTGGGAGGCGGCCGTCGAGCTGGCAACCTCTTTCTCATCCTCCTCAAGGAACCCGGACGGAGTTCGTCCATCTCAAGGAAGAGGAGAGAGAGCGAGAGAGAAGTGGAAAGATGTGTCCCCTGAGAGTGCTGCTCATCCTTTTGTCAGCAACCTTGGCTGGTTTCTTCGTGCTGAGAAACCTCAAGCCCCAGCCGGAACTCAACGAAGAGCGCCAGGAAGAAGACTCCCCAGAAGAACCCCTTTCCCTTACCACCAAAGTAATACGAATAGTTGGGAATTGCGTCGACAATCGTGTAATTTTAGTGTGTTCGCTGACAATCGTGTAATTTTAGGTTGGATCGGCCATCAGCACAGGGTTCTGGACCTGCGTCGACATGGCTAGTGGGAGGTACTTGTGGAGGATTCTGATGACCCCTTCTGCGGCCGGCAAGGAGAAGAAGGCTTGCTGATCTGTCTGTGGGAAGAGGTTCCTATTGCCTCTTTCCTTTTACCTTTCTGTGTTTGTTTGGAACAGAGAAGACTAGTGATTGTTGAGTTTTCATACATGGGGGATCTTGCAATAAGCAATGCTTTAAATTGTAACTGAACTGAATGAAATCCAGGAAGCTTTTGAGATTTTGGTGCTTGTTTATGTGACTATTTTGTTCCTTTTTGCAACTTAACACCAGATTTTGTGTCGATTACTAGATGAACGTTGACTTTGTCCTCTTATCTATATAGTCCTCATGTTGCTTGTTTGTAGATTAGGGTAATGAAAAAATAACTGAACTGAATGAAATCCAGGAAGCTTTCTGAGATTTTGGTGCTTGTTTATGTGACTATTTTGTTCCTTTCTGCAACTTAACACCAGATTTTGTGTCGATTACTAGATAAATGTTGACTTTGTCCCCTTATCTGTGCACAAACTGAACAAATCTGAAGCAGCGTAGAATGATTGTTTCTGACACCTTATCGTGTTGATTTTGTGAGTTTGATACTTTGGAGAACTGTGAGGAATGGCATATTAAGGTTCAAGGATTATCACAAGGAAAGTGTAGCCCTTGTAGGGAAGTCATTTTACTGACACCCATGCATCATCCTCTATGAAGGTGTTTGGTAGCTGCTTTTGTGGTTTAGATGAGCCTAAAGTGATATGTTTACATGTGAGACAAGCTCTTGTGCACGTTCTAGCAATTTTGCTAGAATTACAAACTCTTAGTTCTTTTAATTTGCCCAAATTGGCAACTAAGAGCTTTGAATATACATCTGATGAATCATACTGCTGCTGACGATGATTGATGATTAATGAATGATGTGATTATGTTGTCAAGAACCAATACATAGACAAAGCAAATTTCTTTTTAGCTGAAAATAATGCATAAACTATCCTTGAATCTTTGGCAGCAAATCTGGCATACAACAATGTGATATTGGTCCCAAACGATTCCTTATTTACGATCACAGGTAATACTCAATATTCCATAAGTTGGTAATTTATTTAGACAGTGTTTGAAGTATTGTGCAATTTGTCTCTATTGTCTTAATGTTTGACGGTATACCAGGTAGATTTCTGGATTAATTCAGATTATACTCGATAAAATTTTCGACTGTCAATCCTTGAGCTAGCAAATTACATAAGTTATCTCCTTTGTCTCTTCATGCAATTTTCGTCTCATCACCAGATGTACTTTCAAGTTTCAGCTGTAAAACAAAGAGTATCGCATGAAAGCAAACTCATACCGGAGCATGCCATTTGGCACCTTTTCTGTTTTCTTTTCTTAAGCAAGAAGGAGATACAGATTGGAGCAGAACAGGTTCATTGATGTTCCTTTTGATTTGTAACTCTCAAAACTATCTACCATATATTGAGAATTCTGGAAGCCAAAAGTTTTCTTTCAGATATTGAGAAACAAAGAAAAGAAAAAAAGAGGCCATTTTATGTTGCATAAACTTTTGAAGCTAAAATGAAGGATGGTTGATCCGGGCTTTGACCGAGTAGTGGTGGCTTCATGGTGGGTCCTCTTGCCTGGTGAATAACCCATGTTTATCTACCATGCTTGCATGTTTATCAATACGATTGTTCAGTCGCTTTCAGTGAACAGATTGATTAGTTGCAGGCACCTGTGGATCCCTTATGTAGCGCTGTTCTCTGCTGCACATATTCAGGTTTGTCTTCTTATGCTAATCTATCCTTCATCCTTATCGATGCTTGTCATGAATTGATTTCGATCTCATATTGATGACTGATGACTGACCAAAAGTCTTCTGTTCAGTCGGTTCTTTTAGTTAGATTATGTTCAGCTATAACTCTTGAGAGGTCATTTGCCTACATTTAGAGCATGTTTGTCGGCTCGTGCACAGTATTTGCAAGTATAAGTTTTATATGTAACTGATTGAGTTGAAATTATATGCAGGTATAACTACGACCGAGTGAGCTGAAATTATCTGCTTCTGCACAATTATAACTGATCGAGTTGAAATTATTTGCAAGCATAATAATATGAGCTGCATCTGCACATACCAAGCGTTCAACCTCTTTCATCTTAAAGATTCTTGTCAATTAGCTTGGCATGAAGAGAAAGAGCTTGACCCTCCAAATGATTCAGCCTACAATCTCTTTTTATCTTAGAGATTCTTGCAGACTCTCTTGAAGATACTTACTGTGGGTGTACCATTCTGCTGGTTCAAGCATTATCTCAAACAGGATGGCAAATGTCACAGGATTTCACGAGTGTCAAGTGACATGGAGATCACCATCAAAGGAAGACTGCATGAATCTCATGGATATATATCTTGGAGATTTGAGATCGGTGAAGGTAGAGTCAAACTCCACTATGATACCACAAACAGTGCAAGATATATGTGCTTTCAACAACACATAAGCATTTGAGGTATGAAATTTAGGCCCTTGGATCAGTCATCTCTGCACATAATTGCATCTTCTGTACACTCTTCCTTGGGGATTATGTATTTAATTAGAAAAAGCTGCTGCACATGCATTTGATACTGCTCTCGAGTTGTTATCTTATTGTTTTCTGGTGTCTTTTTGCCTAAGACATGATGCAAGTTAGGCAGACTCCCATGTTATCAATAATGGAAGCTATGCAAGTTCTTCCTATTATGATAATCTTAACAGGGCTCTAGTTAGTGCAAGATAAAATGATGATGATGGATTTTGATCACCTCATCATTCATCAAACTAAAAATGATTTTTTTTTATTTTATTAAAAAAAGGAAAATAAAAATAAAAATAAAGAAAACCTTATGGGAGCCTTCTTTTTTGAAGTGTTATGCAACTAGTTAAACTTGCAGCCACCTTTGTTATCACAATTTAGGTTATGACTCTTTATCTATCTTCCTCTATTAAACCTATCCATCCATCCATCCATCCATAGGGTGTAATGATCCAAGTGGGGATGGATGGGGGTGTACAAGGTAGGTAGCACAGTAGTTTGATAACCCAAATGAGGAGCAAAAAATTGGTTTGTTAATACTAAAAAATATATTTAAAAATATTGTAAATGATCCAAATGGATTCTTAACCTCAATCTAATTAATTAATTAATTAGTAGCGTAAGAAGAATTTGATGTCGTAATAGTGTCTGTCACTTATGAGCAATTATAACTTTTAAAAATAAAAATAAAATAATGAATTTTCATTTTTAATAATAAGGTCAATATTTAAACATAAAAATAAGGTCAATATTTAAATAAATCCGATCCATTTCTTGAAAAATCATTGCCCCTTTTGATTTTGATGAGGTAGTTATTTTGATAGTTAAAAAAAACAATTCAAGATATGATTTTGAAGGAAGATGGAGTGTTGTCATCGATGAGTGGTGGATTAGAGTGATCGATTTTGATGTGCTACATACATACACTTTATATAAATAAATAACATTTGCTCAATTTTCATCTCTCTCTTTTGAATATCGAATACTTTACTTCCATTTATTAATTTTTTATCAATCGATTTCTTACAAGAAAAACAAAAGTGGATTGAAAATAAAATTACATATCAAATCAATCCGTTCTAAATCGAGAATATAAGATAAAGAGTACAACATCTCGGATCAAATAAGACTTGTTAAGCCAAAACCTCTCTCGACTCCAAAACTTTAAGTCGTCGGGAGAGGCTGATGACAAAGTGTGGAGGAGGGGATGGATGGATGGATGGATGGATGTGACCCGACATGGATGGAGTCGCACCAACTTGAGAAAGAGAGAGAGAGAGAGAGAGAGAGAGAGAGA